CGGCGACGAGATCGCCGGCGGCGGCGATATGGCGACGAGACGGGCGCGCGGCGGGCCGGGGGCGCGCGGCGACGACGACAGGCGGCGGGGGCGCGCGGCGACGACGACGACGGGCGGCAGGGGCGGCGAGGGCGACGGCACGGCGGCGCGGCGGCGTCGGCGAGATCGAGCGAGACTCTCTCTCGCGCGAGAAAAGTGGAACGAAGTGGCGACGATAACTGATTTTTCGTAAGTGCCATATATATAGGGGGAGCCTTTAGTACCGGTTGGAGCCACCAACCGGTACTAAAAGCCAATTTTGGCCAGCCCAAGAGGCGGGAAATGAGGCCCTTTAGTACCGGTTGGTGGCTCCAACCGGTACTAAAGGTCAACGCATTAGTACCGGTTGGAGCCATCAACCGGTACTAAAGGCCGTGCGCTGCCACCCGCGGTGCGCTATGTTTAGTCCCACCTCGCCGAGCGAAGGGCAGTCGCACTGGTTTATAAACCCAGCCGCGGCTGCCCTTTCGAACTCCTCTATATAGCAGGCTTCTGGGCCTAACTATGGCGCGCTGCCCGGTGAGCCTCCTGGACCTTCTGGGCCTGCATTTGAACACTCTAGGTCTTGTAGGCCCACCGGGCAGCGCCCCAACATTTTTTTTAAATTTTTTTCTTTTCTGCATTATTTATTTTCTTTTATTTATTTTTGAGTAATTTTTTTACATAGTTATTTCTTTTCTGCATTATTTATCTTGCGCCCCAACATTTTTTTCAATTTTTTTTGCTTTTCTGCATTATTTATTTTCTTCTATTTATTTTTGAGTAATTTTTTTATAGTTATTTCTTTTCTGCTTTATTTTTTTCTTCTATTTATTTCTGAGTAGCTTTTTTGCCGTATTTAGTTTCTTTGTGAATATTTTTGCTTTATATTAGTTTTTTTCTCTGCATTATTTATTTTCTTCTATTTATTTTTGAGTAATTTTTTTATATAGTTATTTCTTTTCTGCTTTATTTTTTTCTTCTATTTATTTCTGAGTAGTTTTTTTGCCGTATTTAGTTTCTTTGTG